ATTGTTATTATTGTTCTCCTAGTGTAGTCTTGCCTATTTTAAATTGTCATTTCAAGTCCTGCTGGACACAGGCAGAATGTGACTTATTTCAAATTAGTCAGGTTTCTATAATAGAAGAGGCTGGAGGTGAGATATTTTCTCGCTCTCCACCTTCCAGAAACAAATAAATAATTATTTATGAACAGTAATGGTGCTATGGGTTTTCTGTAACAAGACTGAATACATCAGTGTTAGACATTTCTGAATTAGTTTTAACAATGATAATGGTAATGATATTTATAATGATAGTGATATAGTGTAAATGTAAAGGAATGACATTTTTGCCTGTTTCATACTTTTTGTACTTGGAAATGAAAATTAAATAAAGTTCCTTTTTTTAACATTATTCTCTCTTTCCTGGACCTTAAGAAATAAAATTCTCTCATGAGTGAGTTCCAAATGTACTAAAATGTTTCATGGACTGAATCAATCTATCTTATCTGTCTGTCTATCTATCATATATCTATCTTTGTTTGTTTTGGACAGAAAAACTGATGAGTGTTTGCACATATCCTCATATCTGAGAGAACAAGGGACCAGACTAGAGAGACATATGACTGTACTTTGTAGTGAAGGAGGAGTGTATGCTTTTCTTCAAAGTGTTTTAAATCGGTTCCAGCTGACAAAGTCAGAAAAAAACAGCGCTCTGCCATTTCCGCTTCCCTCCCGTCTTCTCCCCCTCCCCGTTTCTCCACACAGCAAAATTGTTCTCTTTTATGAGGCGTTTTTTAATGAACGGCCCACCACAAACATCTCTGTGCTGTTTTTCCTGTCGCCTCCCTTTCAAATCTCTTTCTCCTCTCATCTTTGAATCCCTCTTCGCTCTGTGTTACTTTTTGCATTCTTTTTAAATAGGTACAGGGGTGAGAGTGCATTAGTCAGATGACTAAAAAGCCCAGTTCAGCATGATAAAAATTACATGAACTGACTTGTCAAATTACTCTTATATTTCTTCTCTCTCTGGCACACTATCCACTACTGGTGAAAAGTCTGCAATTTCTTCACCTGCAAAAAACAACAAAACATCCGGTTTAGATTTTCTAGAAATTGTGGCTGCCATTATTAATCTTATGTAGATTTCTAAAACATGCATAAGCCTGTCATTTTTCTTTATATTACTTATAGGCCTATAATTTTTTACTGAAATTATCATCTGTTTATTGGATGGACAGATGAGCTAAGGACAGGACAGGAAGTCTGGCTCTCGTTATGGTGGTGTGTCATGTTTGGTGAGCTTGGTGCTCGGATGGCCAGGGAAAAAGTACACAAACGCCCACATACACGCTGAGCTGGCGAACAGGACGTGGCCTGGACAGTTGCTTGCAATTTAGACATTTTGTGTAAATGTGTTCCTGCAGGAGAGGAGCAGGAAAGCAGGTGGCTTAGAGAAGCCCATTGCTATAGTTCAAAGTTGCATATACTGGAAAAGCAACCAACCATAACACGAAATAAGTCCTAAATAGGCCTGAATCAGCAGCCACAGAAAAAAAAGAAGAATTACGCAGACAGTTCGGTTCCACAATCCCCTACCCCTCACATGTTTGTTTAATAAATATTTTGGGAAGTTTCATAATGATTCTACTAATAAGAGGGTGGTACAGCTCTATTACTTCTTTGTACACTCTAGTACTTCTCTGCATATTAAAATCCACCATGAAGAATTGTGTAGATTTTCCCCATTGGGTGTTTCTTCAGCTCTGAGCAATTTTTTCTTATATATATATATACACTGTGTTTAGGAAACGCAAAAGATTAGAATTTTTTTTTTTCTTCACCATCATGTCCCTTTAGGGGCTCTGTAGATTGTTTTACCCAGTCCCAAATTTTTCATTTGAAAATTCATTATAAAAATATGAATTACATGATGTTTAAAAATATGATGATGTAGACAAAGAGTGAAATAATTAACCATTTCACTATTTGCTGTCTGAAAATTGATATAATTTTTTTAAAGACTAATACATAATACATTTTTTCCCCCAAAAGTTTGTAACTTATTTACCAAGAAGAAAAGAGTGTTATGCTTGATATGAAATATGAGATATGTTGTGTGAAGAAAATAAAGCGATATCAAGGTCAAAATCTTTTTATCTCTCCCTTATACGAGTAGGAAGTGTATTGCTATATCCAAAACCCTTGGCCAAACACTGTAACCTTAGCTGTGTCATATCCTGCTCCATACTCTAATGTTTTTGTCTGCTTTCAACTCTCCACCATCCTTTTCCCTATTTTTTCCCGTCTTTTCCTGTATGTATGTTAAAGGACTGCACATTCACCTCATCTTTCGTCCCTTTCCTACCCTTCCGGTCCTCAGTCTGCTCTCTCTCCTCCTGCACTTCATAAAACATCTGGATCTCATTCTGTGGAAAACCAAAACAACATGAGAGAGCGACCGAGTGAGAGAGATAGAGAAAGGCGGGGGAATGGACAAAGGAAAAAAAATCTGTTGCTGGAAATCAAACAATATGTGAAAGATGAGTACATTAAAAACATTTTTTTGATTTGTCTCAATGCTTTGAACAATAATATTTTCTGAATTAAACAGACCAGGAGACAGGAGGATATTGGTTCTATAAAACTTAAAGCTATGTACATAAAATATATGTAATCATAACTGTGGTTTAGAAGTATTCAGCTGAGTGAGAGAAACCTTGGGTTTCTGTTGTTTTTATCAGCTTACATCTTAAACAAAATGGTTTCATAGTGCTGACAAAAATGGTTGAATCTGATCCAGGGTCCAGTAAAACACCAGAGGAAAAAATCTGCAGTTCAGCAACTGGAGCCATAATTATGGAGAGAGGCTGCTGAAATCAGCAGGAAGACCGATGTGTGTGTATATGTCTCTGGAAGAGAGAGAGAGACAGAGAGAGAGAGAGAGAGAGAGAGAGAGAGAGACAGAGAGAGAGAGAGAGAGAGAGAGAGAGAGAGAGAGAGAGAGAGAGAGAGAGAGCAGTCATGTTGGAGTTCCAAATAGATTCCTTCCGATGGGCTAATATTAAAAATAGATAGAAGTTCAGAATTTAATGTTTAAGATAAAAGCTATGTACAGAGAATGATTAATATAAATATTCCTTATATTTCACGGCCGTACTAATCGATTTTCAAGATTCAGAGGTTCTCTGAAAAGCGAAATGGCATTTTGCGGCTAATATAAAATAGAGTCACTATAGCAACACCCTTAATTACTTTCTCAGGCAGGAGATGGAATGGCAATGGCCTCATCTCGATGTTAGTCTGTACCTTGGAATCTATTGTAGACGTTTAAAAGCAGATCTTTGTTAAAGAAAAAAATACAGATGACCAAAAGATTAGCCATTTTTTTATATATATATATTTATATATATATATATTTCAGCAGAAAGCTGAAAAAGAGAATATTACAGCCTGAATTATGTGCAGAAAGTTTTAGAGACAAGGTTAGAGAAAAATGGCTGCCAGAAGATCATCAGAAAGGGATGGAGAAACACTGCAGCCTAGTGGAGCATTATGTCAAGATACCATATTTTTTATAAGTCTGCTTTAAACTGTATGTATTGATCAAATGTAAAATACGCAGATTTAGTTTTAGTATAATGTAAAAGCTTTTTGTTTGTTTCGAAATAAAATACACTGCCATTCAACGGTTTTTGGGGTCCTAGTTGGGGTCGGTTTTTTTTTCTTTTTTTTCAGCAAGGATGATCAAGTTATAGTTTGAAATGTATACTGTTACAAAAGTTTTACATTTCAAATAAATTCTGTTCTTTTGAACTTTCTATTCATCAAATAATCCTTAAAAAAAAATCCATATTTCCACAAATAATGAAGCTCACAACTGTTTTCAATAATGATAATAAGTGATGTTTTCTGAAGGATCATGATTGCCATGACAGAAGAAATTGCATTTGAAATATATAATAAAAAAGACTTAACAACCCTAAACTATTCAATACAAGTATTGTTTTTCCAGTTTTGTACTTCACATAATAAAGATCAGTGGGAACAGACTTTCACAACACATATTAGGGATACCTTTCCCTATTTCACAGCCATCTCAAACATTTTCAGCTTAAATCAAACGGATAAACTGCATTCATTGCCTTTCAATTGTGCATGTGAGTAAATGTATTTGAATGTACAGTACCTATCAAAAGTTTGAATACCTTCTCCTTTGTATATAATAGTGAAGTCATAAATATTATTTTTAAGAGAGATTCAAAAAAAGGCACAATGAATATTCATCTACCCCAGCAAGCAATTTTGTGTATAAAAGACATCTAATAGCCATCCAACACAGCCCAGACGTCTAGGCTAAAACAAGGCAAAAGTTGGGCTGTCAGTGAAAATTTAATAGACGTCTAAACCATAGCCCAATAGACTAGTCATCAATTAGATAACAATGAAATGCAATGAGTGAAGAAATGAAACCATTCACCTTGTAATCACTGTTTACTCTGGTTACATGACGGAATATCATACAGCTCACAAGTTATCATACAGCTCACAAGTTATTTTGGCAAAAACGACATGTAACCAAATTCAAGGTTATTTTGGCTAAGTTGGTTACTCATAGCCGGACTATATCGGGTCTATGGTTAACCAGTCCTAGACGGTGAAATGACGGCTATTGCTTGCTGGGACAACACTACAGGCCAGATCAAAAGATTATGCAAAACATTAATTCAGTAGGATTTTTTCCGATCCAGTCCAAATGTTTGTAGGTTTATGACCTGTAAACTATCATAATTGCACCCATGAGCAAAACAATCAGATTTTATCCCTGCAATAAGTGTCCTGGAAATACTAAAGCATCTGCTTAACCCCTGCCTACAGAATGTACTGTCCTCCAACAAAATAATGCATGACCACCTTTATAATACAAAACAAAGATTGTTTTTTTCTTCTTCCCATCACTATAACAGAAAATATGCATTCTTTTAGTGTGTTGGTGTGTTTAGCATTAGAAACAGAAATCACGCACAAGCTTTTTTTGTCCCCAAGTATCTTTATTTTTTGTTTTTTAATAATAAATTTCCCTTAGGTTTCAGCAATAAGGATTTCACATGCTCTTCTTTCTGTTTCTCAGCTTCCTTCCTCTCACACCATTGCTTCATCCCTTCATCCACCTCTGCATTGAGATACACTGCTCTTCTCTAAATAGAGACAAAAAATGTAAACATCAAAGTTTGTTTCTGAAGTTAAATATCAACAGAAAAAAAACAGTCTTACAGCAAACTCCTCTCTTTGCTTTTGTCTGCGGATCTGTCCTTTCAGTGGAGGTGCAGGCCTTCCATCTGAAAATCACATAACAAACGATATAAATCCTTGTCAGAGCTCATATTTACATTCCTAGATTTACTGTTTGACAAACACCTTACAACTGATGCATACAATAGAATTGACAAGCACAATACGTCTGTGCTTAACACCACATTGTTGCTTTTGGCTGTCAAGAAAACAAAATAAAGTTCACCTGCAAATGACCAGTCAGGTAGATCTGTTATCGGTCCATACTCTGAACCGCTATTTGCTAAACCATTTCTGCAGACAAAAAGGGAACAGGGAAATGGAAAATGTATTTGAACAATCCAAAACACTGGTATCAATATCAACCATAATAGAATGTAATGTATGCAAACATTGTGATTTTATCTGTTTTTTTCCCAGCAAGTATTAAGTCACATTGTTTTTGTAGAAATGGTTCGTTTGTTTAAACTGGATTTCATATCATCTTAAATATCCTTATTTGTCTAACCTAATTACCTTTTTTAAATACAATTTGTTAAAGTAAAACAGCATAGGAAACTCACTCCAGTCTCCACTTCTTTCCTGCATGGCTCACACACGTCGATGAAAATGAGCGTATTGACTGCCTCGATGCTGTAAATGATGTGAAAATAAAAACGACCCATTAATATTATGATTACTGTTCACTCATCAGTTGTACCTTTGTGACACAGTGTACTTCAATGGACACTGTGTTAACACGCAAGCTGACAAGGACTACTTTATTAACACGCAGGCTGACAGCGAGGTTTTAAAAGAATAACGTTCAGATATAATTAACGTTACTGAGCCCAAAACATAATGCAAAAATTTGGCACAAAGCATGACATGTTAAAAAAAATGCTATAACTTGACTAACTGACTGTCTCACCTGCGGTACAAATCGTCCTCAAGGATACTGCCATTTTGGATTATAACAACTACGGTGAGCAAGAGGGACAAAACAAATACTCTGCAGTGGTGTAAGGCGGCGTGACTTATTGCTACCAGTAGATGATGCTGTGGTCTCATTGAATACAACACAGACTTGCCTGATTCACCTGTTGAATAAATTGCAGTTTATTTTCAGCCTTTCTAATCACAACTCGATCTCAAAACAAAAGATAAGCTAACATAAAACGTGTTACAACATGTAATCTGGGAAATCTTGTGGCTACCAGGAGTTTAGCCTTTTTATGTATACAAATGTTCCCCTTGTGCTTAGAATATATTTTAAATAGTCTGAATAGAATTGTTTATTTGATTCATTCACAAAATGATTTGAATAACTGACTGGTAAGTTTTCATTCATTATACAGTCTAAGGTGACAAAACATCTTGTAAAAACACGACACAAGAAGCGCCTCTGGAGAACGGTCTTTACACCTTCCGCTTAAATATTAAATTGTCTTTCAGCACCGCCGATCCCCTTCATTCCTCTGGCTCAAGCAGTGCTGAGTAAGCGCTGAAACATTCCCGCGCGCGCTCCCAGACAAGTCCACACTCGCCACAGTGCGCGCGAGCTCGTGCGCGCTCCCACAAAACCGCAGGAGAAGCTGCAGACAAGACCAGAATGGGAGGAGGGAGCTCCGGGGTAGGGAAAAAACGAGGTTTTAAACAAAAGAACAGCACTGGGTCTTTTTAGGGTCTCTGTGGGGTTGAATACAGTAACCATACGACTGCAGGTCAGTTGTCACCGGAATTTATGCCTCTCGGTAACTATGGAGCAGTGAGAGGCATTTTCCGCGAGGGAAGAAAAGAAAAGCAGTTACATTGTTGCGCTCGCGAAAAGCACACACGCAGCCGACTCACGCTGTCCCAGGGAACTTCGAGGTATCCCTCCGCACATTCCACAGACGAAAGGCACGGCACGACCAATTAGGCCTTAGGGTTGGAAAAATGACACAGAAAATATGTAAGGTCTTCGAGCCATTCACATGTTTTTAGGTTTCCGTTTATTTAAACATTGTTTTTAATCTAATAAACGCCACTTTATTAGAATTGTCGTCATGTGTAGCCACATTATGTGTAATAAAAACATCTTACGGTGTTCTAAACAAAAAAATAAACAATTTGATTCATGGCTGCATTTTACCTCTTTTTTTAGTTTGTCTCATTTTGCCTACAGATAGTTCACTTAATTATATAAACTAATTAAACCACGCGTTCGGTCCCCTTAGACTAGCATAATGTAGGCTATGTGTCTTTTTCATTTAAGAGATTTTAAAAAAAAAAGTGTGCGATAATATCAAGGTTGTTTGTGTAAGTCCAAACAGTAGGCTGAACCAATGGGCACAGTCTGTTTAAAGAAGTTGGTCTGTGTGACGAAATAGTGGGATGCTATTCATGCGCGCTGCCCGGGGGAAAGGTGTTCCGGTCGGGAAAAAAGCCACAGAGGAAGAAGAAAGGGGGAGGAAGGAAAATTTTTTGGAAAGAAAGAAACTCTACGTTGAACATTTTAGCACAGTTTTCCGGCGTAGGCTGCGTAGTGCGTGTTTATCTATGCGAATATGTTTGGGTGAGCGATACGCGATCCTCTCTTCGACTCGCTGCAGCTTTTTTTTGTATTGTTACGCGCTTTTGAAGACTTCCAATTTTGGGGAATAATGGTCATTTTCTTTCAAACTGGACTGGACAAATTCTGCGGGACAACAAGAGGCTTTGATATGCCTTGTACTTTTTCGGCTGAGGAATAAACGCTTTTGAGTTCGCGGATACGGACGACTCATTTATCCGCACAGAGAAACGTTTTCAACTTGCCTTTTTGAAAGCCGCTAGTTGAGGCAGGAAGGGGCCGTGGTGTATCCCATAACCTGTGTGTTTAACGCGCTGAAAATTTATTCAGCATTTAAACTCTATTGTTCTTTTTTAAAAACAACCGGCAGTGCCGTTTAGGATAAATCCACAGAGACAAAATCCAAGTGGTAATTACAAGATTTGCGAGTGGTTCCGAGAACAGTATTGCGGATGTGACTGTGAGACTCGTCGTTTGAATGGATCAGTTCTGCGCGAGTCTGGGACGAGAATTAAAGACTCTTTGAAGCCTGACGGTAGTTCCCACACGTTCATTTGCTCACTGCCGAAGACAAGGCCACAAGTAGCTGCAAAAAAGGATCGCAAACAAATGGATCAACATGCTTCTGTTCTCACGCATGTCCAGCAAATTCATCACAAGCAAACAGTTTGGAAACAAACTGCTTGTTTTCAAGTCTAACTAGTACGACATGTAGCCTGCAGAAAATGTCATAGTGTTTTTATTTATCTTCAAAGTTAAATATTTATTTTTGTAGCTCATCAGAAAGTATTAGTTTTTAACATTTCGTTTTTATGTGGATTTGTTTTTTTGTTATTGTTTTGTTATTGACTTTTGTTATTGTTGTCACACATCTTTTTTTCTGTTATCTCATCTGCTGTTGAATCACTTGAATTGTGCTTGTGTCCACACTGTATTTCACTGTATTTATGTAGAACACTATTTAAACTGTGGCATCTAAGAGAAGTTCAATTCGTACTTTATATTTTATATTGTAGTTGAGCTTATATTAAAACACAATGGATCGACTTGGCAGCAAACTGAAGCAAAAGCTCAAACTGAGTGACTCTGGAAGTGTCAAATTCAGCAAAAAGAAAAATGACTTGGCCAACGCAAATAACAACAGTAATAGCAACAATGCCAATAATGGAACCGCGACACAGATCAATGCACCCGTGAGCACGTCTCAGTTCCCTCTCTCCTCCGTAGAGGTGTGTGGACAGTCAGCTGGAAGACCTGGTAAAGTGGGCACTTCTCAGAGAATCACACCCTCAAATACCACCTCGGCCTCTGTACCTGAGGACTGTGGGCCTGGGATCGAACATCACCCGTCTACTCTCGCCCCTCTTCGGCGCCGGTCGCCCCAGCAGCGAGCATCGTGCTACTTGCCCGAAACGGCGGAGGGCCGCAGTATGTGTGACCAGTTGAGACGAGGCGAAGGTGACCCGCTGGGGGCGTACAGCCCGAATTCTCGTGTGGCCTTGAAGCAGCGCCGTTATTCTCTGGAGCTCCAGCAGCTTGTTCGCCGCCAACAGCTTCTCGCCCAGCCGCCTCCGCTGTCGTCTGTACCACCTCCGTACCCGTACCCCCGTTCGTCTGCCGTGGAGCCTAGCTTCCTCCACGACTTAGAGCGTCATAAGCGATTGTCCCTGCAGGAAGCTCTGTTCTACAAGCGTTTGAGTTCGGGTGGCGAACCCTGGGACAGCGGACGCCCTGCTTCCCTCTCTCATCCACCGCAGAGGACCCATGACAGTGGCGTAGGGGGTTTCTTCTTCCCCCCTGCACCAGCGTTGAGCCCCTGCTCTTCTTTCAGCTTGCAGGAGTCCGTGTTGGCGAGCCCTCGGTCCAGTTTTGCTAGCAGTACCGCAAGTGGAGGAGGCGGCGGGAGTCCCATGGGAAGTCGGTGCAGCAGTAACCGGACGAGCGGCATCAGTTTGGGCTATGACACCCGCCATACACCTGGGCCCGGCCAGCAGCTACAGCTCTCCTCGACCCAACTAGGTGGCGCCACCTCGGGTCAGGTGTACTCTGTACTGGCATCAGGGAAAACTGGAGTGCCCCCTGTGGAGATTTGGAGGGAAACAGTGTCTGGAGGAAGTGCGCACGACAGCCGTCACTCGTATCCGCCTGCACTGAGCACACACACTGCAACCTTCCACCGAGCAGAACCAGAATGGGGTCCCATTGACCAGCGGGGATCAAGAGGTGACGATGTGGGCGAGAGGGCACGACACTCCGACTTGCCAGGAACCCGCTACCAGCAGGAGCTCACCCGCCTGATATTGAGAGATGCTGCCCTGGAGGGAGAAGCGTTACTTGGGGGTCTGACGTTAAAAGAACAACCTGTGTCTACCACCATTCTAGCCAGCTCCGCATCTACCCCAGCCACGGCCGGAGTTCCAGGGAAATCCCTGGAAGAACAGTCAGCTGGAAGGGAATCGTCGATATCTGCGGACAGACAGGAGTACTTCGGTGAGATCACTAACTCATCCAATTTGGCTAGTTTGTTTATGACTAATGATGTGCCTCTCTGGCAATGGACTGTGAATGTGTGTGATGTGGTGAGATGGAAACTGCTTCAGACCTGCTAAAACCTGCAAACATTCTCTGAAGCAAAAAGCAAGACATAAAACGCATCCATTCAGACTTCAAAAATACATACTAGCCCTCCTTTTTCAGCCCGTTTTTCTCTTACTAACCATAATAATTAACTTGCAAGTCACCGAGCGAATGTATAACCCCTCCACCCAAGGCTACATAGTATTCTGAACAGACTCCAAAGTCAAAAATATCTGCCTAGAGCGAGCATAGTGATTATGCATGACCCTAAATTACAGGCTCTGTGGTACGCTGGTCATACCAAAGAGCTGTGAGTAATACAGTAGGACAGAGGCTGTGTGTGTGTATAAACGCTCTCAGCTTTCGACCAGCCACAGTTTGAGCATGGGTGTGTTCATGTGTGTTAGCGTGCACTAGCGTGTGCTGGCGTGTGCTTGTTTAGCTCAGGTATTTGAGTCCTGAGGGAAGGCTCTCTCACATATTTAATTGTGAGGGTAGGGCGTGTGTTTGTGCCTTATGTGTGTGTAGTGCTTTGTTGCGACAAGGAAACCTCCCTGTTGTCTGAAAAGCACCTGTGTAAAGTTTAAGACATTACCTCATTCCGACACATTACAATATCTAATTCCTGTATCCAACAGCCTATTAGCCTTTTTTTTTCCAAGTAATGAAGGGGTTGTGGAGCTCAGGTCAGATTTATCGGTGTGTGTGTGTGTGTACTGTTACTACAAGAAACAAACCCACTGGCTGGTATTATGGGGGAAGAATGCAGAGACATGTATTTTTGAGTCCAGACAGCTCTGCCACCGTGTTTTATGTAATTGGTTATGATTGGATGATGACCTCCTTGTCCTAAATAGAGTTGCGTGTGTGTTGTGATGCATCTGTTTATAGTATACTCAAACAGTGTTTGTGGTTGTATTCTTGCTTTCAGGTACATGTGTGAAGTGTGGTAAAGGCGTATATGGTGCAGATAATGCTTGCCAGGCTCTGGACAGCCTGTATCACACCCGCTGCTTCATATGCGTTTCCTGTGGTGAGTTATCAGTCCCCAGGAATCAGTAATGTAACACTTAAGTCATAACCAAGGCCAGTATTTCAGTACCTCTTCATTTGGGTCAGTATCTCTCATGATGGTCTGAACATCTCTCTTATCTTGTTGTTACTTGTAGGGCGAACTCTCCGAAACAAGGACTTTTACAATGTCAGTGGCTCGGTTTACTGTAAGGAGGATTACATGGTAAGGATGACTACTTACCAATATATATATATATTTTTGACTTCATGTGTTAATTCTCATATTCATTTTAGCTAGTGTTTAGGGGTTGAAGTGGTTCTAAAATTGTGTGTGTGTAAAAATAATATATGAAAAAAAATATTATCCAAAAGGACATCTGCCACTCCAAAAAAAAAGAAGAAAAAACAATGGGTATTCCGGAGAGAGAATATATTAATGGGTATTTCCTAATGAGATGTGGAAGTATGCTCTAGTTTTTGCGAGAAAATATCCACCAATATTTTTTAATATAATATATATATATATATATATATATTTAAAATGTTATATATTTAATATTTCCTTCTTTTTTAAGTCTTTAATTTGTTTTACTTTAAAAAGATAGGTTGTTTAAAAAAATATTAAAATGTATATCAAATATATCTCATTTATTTAATAATTTAAACAATAATAATAATGATGATGATATTTATAATATGTATATTTTATATTATATTTTGAATGTATTGTTGTTATTATTTAAAATGTTGTACACTCTTTTATATTCAGTATTTCTCTAAAAAATATTTGTCTGTTATGATAATAATATTCTAAAGAATATTCCATCATTTCCCTAATCTTTCCTGGTGTCCATTAGTTCTCAGGCTTCCAGGATGCAGCTGAGAAGTGCAGTGTTTGTGGTCACCTCATCTTGGAGCAGGTTTGTGGTCTTTGCGTGAGGTCAGTGTTTGAAGGTTGTGTAGGATGAGTGTTCACAGCTCTGTTTGTGTGTGTAACTCAGATTCTGCAGGCTCTAGGAAACTCTTATCACCCAGGATGTTTCCGCTGTACGGTCTGCTCAAAGGCTTTGGACGGAGTGCCATTCACAGTGGACTACCTCAACAACGTCTTCTGCGTCTCTGACTACAACAGGTCTGTTAGACTGAACCGTGTTACAAATGACATGACAACAAAACTGTTTGCAATTTGTCTAACATTAACAACTGCTCTGAAACCCTTTTTCCAGATTTGCTGCTGTTGAGGTTTAGTCGTGAGCTACATTGCTAAAATGTTTTAATTATTTTGTTTTATTTTTTAATCAAATTAAGTTAAAAGTGTGGCAGAACCACATACAAGTACAGAGTAAAATATATAATATAAATAAATATATACAATGCCCTTTATCTCTTTTAAAAGTTGGTGTATTATTTAAGTGTTGAAGATGAATGCGTTACATACCATGCATTATTTTTCTATTTACTGAAAAAAAGAAAACCAATTGAAAAGAGCATGTTGATCCATTTCCCTGTACCGTTCTTTTGAAGAAATGAATAGTTCCATTCAGAAAGGACACATTCAATTGATTAAAAGTAACTTTTAAATTGTTTAAAAAAAAATTCGTTTTTACATTTTCTATTCATCAAAGAATCCTAAAAAATGTACCAGTTTCTACAATATTAAGCAGCACAACCTTTTCCTGTGATAAAAATAGGAAATGCTACTTGATATCAGCATAGAATGATTTCTGAAGGATCAGGACACTGAAGACAGGAGTAATGATGCTGAAAATTCAGCTTTGACATCACAGGAATAAATCAAATTATAAAATATATTTAAACAGAAAAGTGTTATTTTAAATTGTAATAATATTTCACAATATTCCTGTTTTTACTGTATTTTTGATCAAATAAAGTTTAAGTTTTACAAATGTTGCTCTGATTAAAAAAAATCTGTAATGGCTTTTTGTGTGAACTAATCACAATCAAATTGATAGTAATTAATTTGAATTTAGAAAAATAGGAAAGTATAGCAGTTGATTTTAATAAACAGATGTTTTGTGAAAAGTTTAGCAAAACACTCTCACACTAGTCAGCTATTAATTTCTAGAGTCGCCTGATTATCTGAATGTTCCATCATCACTGGGCACCTCCAAAACATTTGCATTTACAAGCTGTTAATGTGGATTACATTGTTTTCCCCCTCTTCTGTTCCTCAGGACATTTGCTCCCAAATGCGCTGCCTGTTTACAACCCATATTACCTGCTGAGGTAAATAAATCCCCAGTCGTTTCACAGATGCTTTCAGGAGAATGTTCAAGATCTTGATTTTGTGTGTGTGTGTGTGTGTTTCAGGGCAGTGAGGAGATCCTCAGGGTGGTGTCAATGAACAAAGATTATCACTTTGAGTGCTATCACTGTGAGGTAGGTATTATGGAAAGTAGTTTGGATAAGCTGATTGTCGTCATTTTGTTGTGTCCGATAAGAGCGTATCTACACAGGCGTTATCGCACAGGCTTGTAATCCTTTCTTCCTCTTCTTCAGGAGTGTGGGAAGCAGCTGTCTGATGAGCTTGGATCTCAGTGCTTCCCTCTGGATTCCCACCTCCTCTGCCACTCTTGCCACATGACCAGGGTGTGTCACACATAACCCTTCCCCTCACGACACACACTGAAATGAGAACTAATGTGCCTGACCAACATAAACTACTTTGTATTCATATGCACACTAGTGACCACTGTAAATTGTTGCCTTTCTAATGTGTGTCTCTTCTATGGCAACTCTATTTTTGAAGATAGTAAGAGGGGAGAAAACACTCTTGCTGAGACATGAGGTCATAGTACATTTCAAATGCAAATACCAGCACTGGTAAAAACTATATCACCCCCTAGTGGCTGGGAAATGCAGCAACTGAATCCTGCTGAACAAAATATTTCTATACAAGTTCTCGGAGTTTAAGATTATCACCCGCTTCATTACTAGAGGGAGTTGAAATATCACAGAACACTGTTTTACTCCCATATCTACTGTTTGCTGTAGGGAAAGAACAAGGGATTTTTTTTTTGCTTAACATTTTTTTTATATTTAATATCACTAGCAAAGATTTTGCACTTAAACATGTTTACCTATTAAGAGATTTTTTTTTTAATAAAGTGATTGCAAAAGGTTAAAAACATTCCTGTATCTGTTTTAATTAATAAATATCTGTGTGTTTGAATGAGTGTTATTTTCTTATGCCATTCACACATCCAAAAAAATCTGAGAATTCAAACACTGACCATTATTAATGGGATTAAAGAAAGAAGGCTGGTATTGCTAGATGGCTTTTCCAGTCACTCGCCACTAATCATCTCTTTTCTAAAGCTTTTTGGTAATTTCTCAATTGAATGCTATTGGTCTGAATGATTAGATTTAAACAATTGTTTAGTGTAGAAATGACTCAAAAGACTTGACGTTTCACACCGTTTTGTATTCAATTTTAAGCCTGTGAAAACACTCAAAAGAACAATATATAGGCAACAATATTTACAATGTTATATAGGAATATTTTAGAGCAAAACTAGAAGAAAAAACTAATTTGCTACAGAATGGATTTCCAAAGTCTGGAAAAATCAGTTGACAAGCTGTAATGAAAATATCTGAACATCATTTTTAGAAAATATCTTTTCCACACCTGGACCAGTAAACGTCACTGCTGACTTTAGCAATTCATAGAGTGTTGTATCATCTCCAACTGCTGCTGGTTATTGCCACAATTATTCTTGGCATCAATGAAAAAAACTTCAATACACATCAAAAAAGCAAAAAAAAAATAAAATAATGTCCTTCCGTTTTTTATTAGTCTTTGTACATTCTGCACATTCATAAAGAAAATAATCCAAAAAGAGAATATTTTGCAATTTATCTTCAAAACTAAAACATTAAAATAATATTAAAAGGCCTCTTGCTATCTTCTCTACAAAGGTTAAATTTATACCTTGTCTGATTCAGAGATGAACAGTACACAACTTCATAAGACCAGGGAAAGAAGAGAACAGACGAAGGTGGAGATGAGAATCTAACAAATGAATCTACAGTGTGGTTCATAGGATTGGACATCAGTAGTAGTTACTTTAATAAATCAGATCTTATGCGAGATCAGCGTCGACAGCAGGACTGGCTCGGTTAACTCACAACAGTGGCTGAAACATCTGGACAGGGGACTTTTTTTCTCCATCCATTTGGAAATATATTAATTGAATCTGTATACAGCATTTCAAGTCCCATAATTATGCACTGATTTAACTACCTTCTAGCCTAAAGTGGCTCTAGTTAAACTATAAATAAAAATACAAGCGAGGACTTTGGGGTGGAGAGAAGGAAAATATGATTGATAGTCTCTTGACTTTGGTGTTTGTGAGCTTTAAACAGCACACTGATACACAAACACATACACAAGCCTAATTAGTTTTAAAAATAAACAACATTCACCAGACCCTTCATTCGTATTAGTCCTGATTCATTTGAGATTTTTGGGAAGACAAAAAAAAAGAAAGAAAGAAGTTTCACCTAAAACAGTGTTGAGTGACTGAAGTGTTAAAGGAACAGTTCACTTAAAATGAAAATGCAGTTATTTGCTGACCATCACTGTTGTTCCAAACCTGTGCATGGAACAGAAGAAATCTGTAGAATTTTGAAGTAGAAAAAGAAAAAAAAAGTTTTGTCCATACAATAAAAGTCAGTGGGGTTGGTTCAATGTTTTTGACTCTATTGGATAGACAAAAACAGCTGAAACATTTAAAATATGATCTTTTCTGCAGAGGAAAGTCATACAGGTTTGGAAGAGCGTGAGGGTGAGTAAATGACAAAACTTTCCTTTTTGTCTGGACTATCCCTTTAATGAGTGAAAAAGACCGGCATTTATCGTCCTTAGAGCATGTCATCATGCTGATGACTCTGATCTTACAAATCCCTCTCACACTTATCCACTCGCTCAAACACACTTGTACACTCAGTGGCGTCTGTCTCTGGAGGGGCTGCTACGGCTCTGTGAGCGTCTGCTGCCCCCTGCAGGTTTGGAGTCGCTACCGCGGCCTCTGTGGCCATCTCTCCTCTGTTCTGCCTCTCTGCCTCTTTCTCTCTCTCTTTCCTTGCCTCTGTCTCTCTCTCCCTCAGTTGAACGTCTCACAACACCTGCTCCTGGTACTCCTGTGTTCCCTCCCTCTCTGTCACGGCCTTTTGCTCTGCCCCTCCATTCTTCTCGTTTTTTGTCCTCTTCCTCCTGGAGTTCCTGCCTCCTCTTCTCTCGCTCCTTTTTGCGCTCAGCACGCTCCAGAGCTCTCTGTGTTGCCTGGAAAATAGCAAAGACTTAAATTGAGGGGGGGGGGGGGGAAGTTGAGGGTTGTATGTGATTAGAGGAAGTCATGCTGACCTGTTCATCTGTGAGGGGTAACCAGTATATACAGGGAGCTGCTTTAGTTTTGTGGAACAGGTCATCAAGAAGTTTTACAGGAGGTTCTTCTGGTTTATCTGGAAATTGGAGACAATGTCAAATCAAGATAGATATATTGGTAAACATGGATCAGTAAACATTTGACCAGATTTAGTTTCCCTCACCTTTCTTTTCCACTCTCTTCTCTTTGCTCTTGCCTCTCTCTCTGCGTCTTCGGTCCCGTGATCGAGACCTTCTCGTTTTGTCGTTTCGGTCTTCCTTACCGAAATCTTTCACTTTATCCCGGTCCCACTCCCGCTCAGAACGAGTCCTCTCTCTCCTCTCCATCGCTCTTTCTCTCTCTGCCCACTGGTCTCTCACAGCTGTAGCCCCTCCGTCTCGCTCTCTTTCTCGGTCCTTCTCTTTTTCGTGGTTTGGAGGTGGGAGTGGCGGATGTGCGGCAGGGCGGCCTGAGGCTTGAGGGTCATGACCTACACGGTCACTGGACACGATACCTTTATGGAAGTCCAACTGGACACAGATGAAATCACAAAATGAGAAGCATACAAAGTTTGATTAACAACATGAGAATGACTAAATTATAACAAGAGAATGGTGACAGCAATAAAAGCAAGTGAAGCAAATTGTGCCGAACTGTTCCGACCTCATCCTGCTCGCAAAAATCCACCCGTAGTACTTTGGGATTACTCGCAGGCCATTTCACACCATGCAGTGCTTCTCGAGTGGCCGCTGCTTCCTCTATAGTGGAGTACTGAGATAGAACATGACAGAAGGAAGGTTAAACTAAACTAATGCATCAGGGGGCAAAAATAAACAATACAGAATAAAACAAATCCACTACCGTTCAAAAGTTTGGTCAGTAAGATTTTTTTTATGATTTTGTCCCTTATGCTCACTAAGGATTTATAAAAAAAAAAAAAAAAAAAAAAAAAAAACTAATATTGTGAAATATTACAAATTAAAATAACTTTTCTATTTAATATATTTGAAAATGTGGTTTATTCCTGTGATGCAAAGCTGAATTTTACTTCAGTCTTCAATGTCACATGATCCTTCAGAAATTATCCTAATATGCTGATTTGGTGTTCAAGAAATATTTCTTATTATTTTCAATGTTAAAAACATTATTATATTTTTTGTGGAAACACGTATTTTTTAGGATTCTTTGATGAATATTAATTTCAAAAGAAAAGCATTTATTTGAAATATAATTTTTTCATAATTGAATCTTTGAGGTCCCAAAAAATAATAATAATAATGAGCTTTAATAATAATAAATATAGTAATCTTACTGTGACATAGCAGTGAGATTTGATCTTATCGATCCAGAAACCCTCCTCCACCAATGTACCAGTCCGATTTAACAACTCCTTCAGCTGCCCTAAGGTGAAGGGTCGCACCTAGAGAGAAACGGTTCAGAGCAGGAGTCAAAAGATCAGCAAAACTTTTAGTGTCTCCACCATAACACAAAAGAAATCTGACCCTGAAGTATAATGTTCCTCATAAAAAGCTTTTAAAGCTTTTAGCAGTTCAGTGGCACTATTAACACTCTTAAAATATTTTATTTGAGACATCCCTACATTACAGTGAGAAACTGAGCAGTGAAATGAACATCATCTGGTGCTTACCAGGTTGCATACGTGTATGATTTTGGAGGTTTTTCCACGAGGAGGAGACAGCTGGCGACCTGTCCTAATGGGGTCGTCAATAGTTATGGACACTCCTGATTTCTGCTGACTGATGGAGCGCCGCACCAAAGAATCATTGGGAGTGACTGAGAGAGGAAAATAAAAACAATTATAATCTTGCTTGTAAAAAAAATAAGGATATGTGGGAATAACAGTAGCAAATTAAGGAATTACCTTTCTTGGAATCACCTTCCTGTGTTTCTATGCTAGCATCAGGGGAGCTCTCCTGTTTCCTATGTATTTCCTTCTCTCCTCCTGTCCATTTCGGCTCTTCTTCATCATCATCATCCTCCATTTCTTTCTGCCCATTCTCATGTCCATCAGATGGAACAATCTGAACCAAAGTTTAAAGGGACAAGAAAAAAAGTTCACTGAATGGCAGGGACAAAACATGAACTTTTAAAGACGATGACAAAATGCTTTCCTATAAAAAGATTCAGTCCTAAAGTCACTTAACGCTTTAAAATGACTAAAGTTAATTCTGCAGTATTGTGCCGCAGTCTTCAGCACTGGTGTTCCTCCTATATTATACCTACTAAGTCAAACCTTAACATTTGTTTTGTCAGCTACCAGTCACAAGCCTGTGCTCACCTGTGTCACTGTGCGTCTGATCTTGAGACCCTGATCCTCTTCTGGTTCCTCTCGCTCACGAGGCCCGGATGAGTCCTCATCCACAGAGAGACGGCTCTCGTCTGGGTGCAGTTCGACCACCGCCTCCTGTAGGGGCTTGATGTCTGGAATCAGTGTCTGTAAAGATGACCATTTTTAAGTCACGTAAAAGTCAAATACTTTTATGCAGTACTATTAAAGCACAGAACGGATAACCATATTCAGTTAAATTCTGTCCAAACTATACATGGTCTATACATTTAAGCTTTTCATCAAATAAAACTTTGACCCTATAACATTGAATTTATTCAAGCAGCAAGGCTGTCAAAAACAGGTAGTTATTCATTGCGTATCTGCTAAGGTCATGTGGGAGTGGTCTTGGATAATTTACCTTCAGCGATTCAGTGGTGATGCTGATTGACGGCTTTTTGGCAGTGACTGCTGTACTAGACCCCCACCTTCTCTTCCTGCTGGCTCCGCCCAC